AAGAAATATAAAAAAATTCAATCAAAAACTATTGTAAAGTTATTTGAGAAACATAAAGAAACAAGTGTGCAAAACTATAGTCAACAATGTACATCAATAGTAAGTGAAAGTCCTCATCCGTCTATCAGTAGTAAGCAAAGTTATCATCAGTCTACATCAGTAGTAAGCGAAAGTCCTCATCGGTCTATATCAGCAGTAAATGAATGTACTTATCAGTCTACATCAGTATTGAGGCAAAAACCTCCTCAGTCTGCATTAGCAGTAAGTGAAAGTGCTAATCATTCTACATCAGTAGTATACCAAAGTCCTCATCAGCCTACATCAACAGTAAGCGAAAACAATGAAAACACAATTCTTTTAACTTCAGTTCTTGGAAAAAGAAAAAATAAGAAAGTCAAACCAGCACAAATACCAATCAAAAATGTAGAAGACCTACGACTCAAAACAACACAAAAGTATGAGGTGTTATTTCCCGAATTTTTTTATTCGTCATCAAAACAAGGTTGGTTTTGTAAAGTTTGCATATCGTTTGCCCCTGGAAAAAAAAGTAGTCGTGCATTTATTGAAAACCCTGGCAAATTTGCAGATCACCCCTCGGAGCGTGCTAACGATCACTTAAATACGCATAGGCATACTATAGCTTTACAAAATAAACAAGCTTTTGATGAAATGTCTAAGCAAGACTCGAATATCTGGAAAATGCTGCGTGAAAATACCCTTGCAAAAGAAACATTAAAAACAAGCACTTCTCGCTTCGTTATTAAAACCTTCTTTCGAGTCACGCATTTGTTAATCATTAAAAACTGGGCACATACTCATAATTTTTCCGACATTATTGAACTTATTGCTGCGTGTGGTTGTAAGGAAGTTAAGCCGCACGTTTTGTCTAGCCCAGCAAATGCAACATACATGTCTCCGGAATATATTGCTAAGTATATAAATATTATCTTTGATTTCATTAAAAATCCTCTACTCCAGTCACTTAAAAATGGTGGTAGTTTTTCTTTTTTTTTGGATGAAACTGCTGATATTACGTCGATTGAACAGTTAACTATATATGCCACTTTTGAACACAACAGCATCGTAAAAGAACATTTTATAAGATTAGTTCCTTTAAGTAAGCTTACCGGCTCTAGTCTATTAGCTCCAAATGTTTTTGATGTTATTCAAAATTTTTTTAGAGCTAATAATATCTCATTTAAAAATGCTCGCTTTGCTTGTATGGACACAACAAGTGTTAATTCTGGTATAAAAGGAGGTTTAAAAGCCTACATCGAGGATGCTGTGCCACTGTGTGTTTGGGTTGGGTGTACAAGTCATAAACTTGCGTTATGTTTTAAACATATTTTAAAGGACTTTCCTACTATTATAGAGGTAGGTATTTTTTTACTTAACCTATGGAAGTTTTTTAAGTACCGCATACTAGCCATGCATTTGCTGCAGGAATGCTCCGAAATCTACGGAGAACTAGAAACCATAGTTCCAGTGTGTCCAAGTGTAACACGTTGGACTGCACACGATCGAGCTTGTTTAGTCGTGTTTAAAGGTTATAAACCGATTTTACAAGCATTGTCAACATGCTATACCGAACGAAAAGAAGCAGAAGCGCTCTGGCTATTTATACAAGCGAGTTCACAATCTAACATCGCAACAATACTAATGCTCTTAGATGTCTTTGAAGCAATTCGCCCGCTTGTCCTAGCATTACAAAGTTCGCAAGTGGGAATTAGTCTCAGCGACATTCCAACTTATGTGAATCAAGCTAATCATAGTTTAGTTGATTTAATCTCGGGTACTCGACGAAAGTATTTACGCAAAAAAATTTTATCGAAATGAAATCAGTGACAGATGAATTAGCTTTTTCGCTACCAGCGACGAGCCAATTAAAAAAAAATAATAACTTTGACTTAAGTGATTTTGAGTTAAATGTTTTTAAAACTTTTGTTAACAGTTTTAAAAGTGAGCTAAAAAACACTTTCTTGCAAATGGATTTTTGGCAATCGCTTTCGGTTTTTGACCCAAGACAATTGCCTAAAACACTCAACCAACTGTCTAGTTATGGTAAAGAAAGCTTAGAGCAACTTATAACTCACTATGGCAGACCAAAAAGCAGCAACAAGTTTGGAGCATTACACATTCAAGTTCCAGATATCTCAGAAACCGAGACAAAAAACGAATTTGAAAGTTTCAAAATTATTTTATTTACTAAACGTTGAGAATGGGAAAATAGTTTTGATATACGTATATCGAAAGAAAAAGATCAAGAAGTAGTCAATAATTTAATTAAGTCAAGAAATAATTTTACGCCTCAAGAGTTATGGAAAGTGATTAATAATGACCCTGTTTTGATAAGTGTTTATGCTAATTGTATGTTTTTAACTAAGTTACTCATTATATTTCCTTTGAGTGTAGCTTGCGTTGAAAGATTTTTTTCAAAATTAAAAATAGTTAAAAACCGTCTTAGAAATCAGCTAAGCCATAGCACATTAGAAAGGTTGATGATAATTGCAACAGAAGGTCCAAAGGAGTGTTTTGACGACGATTTGTTAGAGTACTTTGTCGACGAGTTGAAAGGCAAAAATCAAAATATGAGAATTAAGTTGTAGATTTAAAATTTACAACGTAAATCTCATTTTTATTTTTTTATTTGAGCTTACAGACAATTAGTGAATATTTAATTTTTGTAGTTTTTTCACGGAATCTTCTCGTTGATTTCTTGTATTCCAGCCGTGTTTTTACAATTTTTGTTTATTGTAGTTAACTGAACTTTTATTTGTATGTAAAATAAAAGCTTTTTGTTCCCACAGGAAGTCCTAAACTTTAGAGCTAAATGGTTTTAATAATCGTTATCTTGTGCATTAGATATTATTAGACGACTTCTTGCAACATCAGCTAGATTTCTTAAACCCAATCATTACTTAATTTTCTTAAACCCAACCGTTACCTAAATAAACAATCGTAAATAAATAAAGATCATACGTCAAGAAACGCTCGTTTAAAACGCGCATAGCGGTCCAAGTTTATCTGAAAGCTAACTAGTTTTTCTTATCGCCGATGACGTTTAAGGCAAAGTTTAGAACAATGAAGACTTAAAATTTACACTAGCAAATTATTCATCGATAAATGTTAGATTATAAAATTAGCTTGCAAAAGTATGAACATCTGTTTAAATATAAAAATGGTTTAAAAAAAGGTTTTAAGTATTTTAAACAAATTAATAAAACTTTTTTTGAAAGAAGATAAACGTTAAAACTAGATAAACATTAAACTGTTAAAAAGTTCAGTGGAAAAATTTAAATTTTACATTTACTATAAAAAAACGCTACCGTCGCTTTAATTTTTTTCTTAAAGTCACTGTAGTGATTTCTAATTAGTTGATTTTTTTTTTAATTTAAGAAATGCATGCCTAAACCAAAACCCTTAATTGATGGGTAGGCTCTCTTGTCAAACCGTTATTCAAAAACAATATAATGTATATTGTTTTTTTGCATTTTCGGTCCTTAAGGTCCGAAAATGCAAAAAAACGACTTCATTTAAAAGAGAACCCGCCTACCCCAAACCCTCAGTCGTTGTTTGCACATTCCGTTGCATGTTCTCTCTAAAAATCAGTCGGTGTATGTGCACACCGCAGCGCAAATCCCTATATACCCTATTTTGCCTATTTTCTAGAAATACAAGCTCGCGGACGCAAAGGATTAATAATTACAGATATACACGCTCTAAATCATCGTTTAAACTTTTTTTATAAAATATAATATATTTTTTTATGATATTAAATATTACTTTAAATAATATTCCTTTTAATATTTTTTAAAAGCGATATCAAAGTATCACACCGTTAATTTTTTATTTGAAAATAAAAGATGCGAGCTTTTTTTTTTTTTTTCACTCAACAGTTGACGGCAACCTAAATTCCCAATACTATGAAAATGCTGTATATATTTTATTCCTGGCTAACACCCTGATATATATAGCATGTCATTATAATGTTATATATAATATATATTAGTGATGTGCCGGGTACCCGGTTCGGACCCGGGGACCCGGCAAATCGGCTGTTTTACCGGGTACCCGGTATCGGCCATTTTGTTGCAGTACCCGGTACCGTGTATCTTCAAATTGATTTTTCCTTAAATTTAAACTTTAACTATCAAACTTCTTGGTATAAGTTTAAGAATGTTATGTAGTTGATAACCACAAAGTTCTATTAACTTAAAATTAAAACTTAAAAACAATCTCACTTAAAATACTTTTTAATACATTTTTGCAAAAAAATTTATATGGATACAAAAACTGTAACGCTAAATAAAATAATTCAAGAATACGAATAAAAAGAATGGGAAAAAAAGTTTTAGAATAGCTTCTTTTTATTCTGTTAGAACACAAGATAATTTTTAGCAATTTAGTTTTGAATGAAACGCTTATAATGATTTCGAACGCTGATACCACTTTTCATTCGTATCAAGTAAAAATCATAAAAGTAGAGATATAAGGTAAATATTATACACATTTTTCATATTTTAGTTTCGATAATAATTATAACAAAATATTATTTAGGCCAGCTCCACCAGGAAAGAAAATAATTTTAAACTAAATGTAGTTATTAAAAAACTGTTGCACAACTTTTGAAAAAAGTTAGGCCCTACAACTCAGGCCCCTTACCCTTCATTGCGGGGTTTTGCTAAATGGTACTTCCGCCACATAACTTTTGGTTAATTAGCGTAAAAAGCGTGTTTTGTGTGAATAGTTCAGCGCTAGAGATTTCAAAAGTTTTTATTCCAACTTTTAAAAAATGGACTCGGTGCCGAGTACCCGGACTCGGACCCAGTTTTTTCAGCCGGGTACCCGGAATCGGAGACTCGGCATAAACTGGTTCCGGCACATCTCTAATATATATATATATATATATATATATATATATATATATATATATATATATATATATATATTATTATTATTATTATTATTATTATTGTTATTATCTTCGACATCATATATAGGTTCATCAAGAGCAGTTACTTCTAAAAGTACATGAAAAAACAACATATGTAAGCCGCTTAAATGCCCGTACCAAGGCAATGATACACCCTGCTGGAGATACAGACGATGATCTAAGTGAAGATACTTGCAGTAATAAGGAAACATTAGTTTTGAAAGATGATTTTGTTTTATCAACAACAAAAGGATCAGGTTTTATTCTTTCTTTTTTTGTTTCAACTTTCTGTTTTTTAGTATAAAGCTTTTGCTCCACTTGTTTTAGTTTGTTTCAGTTGTAAAATCCTAGTATATTTGTATAAATTTTTAACAATATACAATAAGTATTTTATGATTATGATCTCAGATATCTGGTATTCATTAGTTCTTTTAAATTCAAAAATAAATTCGGATTGTTGTAACTAGAAAATCATTCAAGGTTATCATTAATATGGTACAATTTATATAATAGGTTCATAGTTTCTTAGTTTAATGATTTTGAGGCCAGCTGGTAGTGAGGTTTCCAAATTTATCATTATGATAGTTGGTAGTGAGGTTTCATAAATATCATAGTAATAATACTGACATTTCTTAGTGTTGATGGCTGTAAATATATGATTTTTAAAGTCACATACTTGCATATGACATGGGGTAATAGCTTGAATATGACTGGTACAATAACTTGCATATGATTTGGACAATAAGATTTAAATCCTTCGACTATTTTTTATGTTTTTTTTTTTTAGTACCGCTTTACTCAATCACTTTTTTATTTGTTTTATTTTTTATTTGTTTTATTGTTTTATTTGTTTTGTTCTTATTCTTTCTAATACTACACTCATTTTGATGTTACTTTTAATAAAATTGAATAAATTTTTTCTCCTTATAAAAGTTTAAATTTTTTTGCCAGAGGTTTAATAAGGTTAATAATACGGCAAATCCAATATTCCATCTCTTATATATGTGTCTATTACCTGTCCCTATTGATATAACTATTTGCAAAGAATATTTCTTCTAATTTTTATTTAATTTAATTGTGTTGTTTTGAAGCATGGTAAGATCTCGTTCAAGTGAGCCAGCCTGGCTAACTGAGCCTGCATCATATAAACAACCTGTTACTCACTAAACTATTTAACAAGTTTTCAAGTGAATCTTATTTTCCATTCTGCTGGAAAGTTAAGTCTATGGTTCCATTTTTTAAAACTCTGGAGGTTAGTCTGACTTCTCTAACTATGCTGACTTTCTCCATAAGCTCACTTTATATAGTGTATCTGGTAAAGTTTTTTAAATTGTTGAATCATCTCTTTTTAATTGCAGTATCGAAGTTGTCCTTGAAGGACAATTTTCTCCTATATTTCCAAAAACTTCTGGCATACCACATGGTTCTGTCTTTAGTACTGTTCTAATTTTTAAAAAAATTGTCAATCTGACCCCTCTAACTATTACCCAATCAAACAATAATTGCTTGGGACTTTGCAGTTGTTGGTGATTTTTAACCCAAATAAAAATTAGTTGTTTACTGCTAATAATTATTGCAATATTGTTCATAGTTCTTACTCCTGATTCCATTCTTTACCTCCATAGATATTTTATTTATACTTATATGGAATACTATTATCATAGGCTAGTACTTCTAATAAAACTATTTCTCTTTTAGACAAGCTGATAAAATGCATTGTTCATTTTGTTGGAGCTGCCAAGTTTGAGTCCATGTTCCATAGTTGTCATAGTTGCATCTCTTTTTCTTTTCTGAATATACTGCCATGGTTGCTTAATCCAAAAGCAATAAAGAAATTTTGAAAAGTGTAAGGGATGCCGAGATGCTTCTCAGACATTTCACATTTAATTGTTTATTACTAAAAAAATTATTGTTAAAAAAGTAACTGCTATGTTTTGTTCAGTATTTTTTTTTTTTCAATGAAAAAGAAAGTGTAATGAGATTTTTACAAAACAAAAAAAATTGTGTTTTATTCAATTTTGTAAATTATAATTTTCTTATTATGTGTGAAAAGTATAGCAGTTACTTATTAGTGATTAGCTGGTGTTTGGGGTGATTGGTAATTAATATTAGTAATTAAGGGTGATTGGTACTTTGTATTTTAGCATTTTGGTGATTGTAAGGGTCATTGCTAATTAGTATTTTCAGTTTTAGTGCCAGATAAAAAAGTCCATTCTTTTCCTACTAGTTAGTATTTTATTTGGGGGACTTGTATTTGTAAAAAATTATTAATTATCTTAATTTTCACCTCATATAAACAAGTGTTTATGTATGTATATATATATATATATATATATATATATATATATATATATATATATATATATATATATATATGTATATATATATACAAAATAAATAAAACAATTCTTGTACAATATATATATATATATATATATATATATATATATATATATATATATATATATATATATATATATATATATATATATATATATATATATATATATATATATATATATATATATATATATATATATATATATATATATATATATATATAAGATCTCGCATGTTTTAGTCTTTTTTTGTTATATGGCTAAATGTACACTAGAAGCAATATGCGCAAAAAAAAATAATATTGAAAACTATTGATAATATTCACTTTTCTACTTTCAAAAAAAATACATGCCATTATATTTTTAAACTTTATTTGAGCGCTCATTTTATAAAAAAATAGACGTTCAATTACAACAAAAAACTGTTGACAAATATAAAAAACAATGTACAAATACTTTAAAACCCTTTGCTTTTAATGTGTTGTAATTATTACGATCTTATTTGTTACAAGAAAAACTATTAGCGAATAACTAGAAAAAAGATTAGCGAATCTATCTGGTTTGATATTAGTTGCTATTTGTGACCAAGATAACGGTGGAAATGATTTTGAACTTGCACTTGTCCAAGTTGCCATTATTTTCTTCAATATTATCCACTCTGATAAAATATTTCTAACATCTACTCGTTTATATTGGAGTTGTTGCCAAAGCATATCGTTGTCAATAAAGGCTCTTATGTTATTGTCTAGCATGTTTTTATATAACTTTTTGTTGTTTTCAGCCGTCAAAAAGTTGCTCTTTTCCGTTTCAAAATGCACTTTTTTATGGATGTAGCAATAAAAACTTGATCTTCATATTTTATCACTTCATGCAAATTTACAATCCCATATATCGAGCGCTTCTTGCAGTAAAAACCAGAGTCTGGATTTTCTTCGAATCTTTCTTAATTGCAAGCGTCATGCTTGAGCGAAGACTTAACTTCATATGTTGAAACATTTTTTTTTTTGTGCTAGCCTATAAAAACATAAACAATATTATTATTGATATATTCTTAAATTACTAAGTAAACAATTTATTATTTGTTACATTAACGTTTTAATTTGAAAAGCAATAGTGTATTTTTATTAAATACTATATAGTTAAGTTATATATGTAATTAAATATTTGAATTTAGTAGTTAATTCAATATATAATTTACAACGACAAATTATGTGTTTCATCAATATACAAATAATAATAATTTTTATATTGATTAAAACTTTATTTTGAAAAATTAGTTTTTAATCAATAAACGTTTAGGAAATATTAGTTTAGAAAAAGTTTCTAATTCTGAAAAAACTCTAAGTATGAGAGCAACAAAATATAATTATAAAATTCGAATGAATTTGTTCTTTCAAGAAAATAGACTTAATAGACTTTAAATAGACTTTAAATTAAATAGTTCAAAAAAGAGCACAACAAAATCTATTTAAAACAAAGTTTTTATCTTTTGTAAACATTATACTTTGATTATTGAATGTTAACTATCGCAAAGTTTATACTTCTAAAAGGTTTAATAACATTAATATTAGTATGTATTACACTAAACTCACATGTTACCTAATTATATATACTTTTTTTATTGTTTATTTATAAAGCTTATAACTTTTGTTTGTGGTGAATTAATACTCTGAAAAAACCTTACTAATACCTCTAATAAAATTGTCATTGCTCTACATATATCAAGAATATAGATCGCCGTCAACATTAAGTGCTGATCAACTGATTTCTTTGCAAAGAACTTTGATTTCTGTGTTGCGCTGTAGTCGTTTTCCAAGCTGATAGTGGTATAACTATCAATATGCGCTTTTAGACCATTGAGAAGATTCTCCAACGCATTTACCATATGCGCAACCCATCTGGTACCATTAACTTGTATGACACTGCATTTGGCCTAAAAATTAAAATACTAAATTAAATAAATACAAAATTGCCTAAATTAATTAATATAAATTTTGATTGTTAATACTACCTAAAAATAATAAGTAAAAATACGTTAAGATATTATCAATATAACAAAACTTAATTCTTAAAATCCCTGTTACACTATAAACTTTGCATGCGTTACAATAAACCACTAATATAACAGTAGAATTTCGATGAAAAATTAAGAGATGCTCACAAAAAAGCTGTCCAATTTGGAGTTCTTTTAAAGTGCTGGTTGCATCTTTCAGTGCCAACTGAAAGGTGCAGCCAGCACTTCAAAGGAACTCCAATTTTCTCACTTACACACAAACAATGTGTGTAAGTGAAAAAATTGTTGCACCTACTTTTTAGCTGTTGCTGAACACTATGTCTCCGTCCAGTTAAAACATTAGCGCCATCTGTAATTAAACCTACCATTAGAGGCACTATATTTTTTGCATGTACTATTAGTTCATTATTGTAGTCGTCTGGCTCTTCTTCACTTAGGAAACCTTCAAAATTGCATTCATCGTTATTGTTGTCACTATCGCTAAATAGTTGAGATATTTCATCTTCTATATGTACTAATTCCTTTGTCTTCTAGATTCAACTTAATAATCAACTTAATTGTAAACAAAATGGTTGGAACTGAAATAAATATATACTCTATTTAAATCGATTTTAGAGATTAAAATAATATACGTTTGATGGTTAAATAAATTGTTTTTAAATAATTGGAGACTGTCTGGTCTCACAATAATTGCAGGATTGGAATTTATTTGTAATTTAAAATGTAATTTTTATGGCGTAAATTGAACTAAATATCTAATGATCAGTAGTAACTAGTTTTCAAAAGTACTTACTGTAGTAACTAGTTTTTAAAGTACTAATTAAAATGCCTTTCCAGATGCAATCTAGAGTCATTAGTCATTTCTTTAAATTTTTTTTTTTTTTTTTTCAGTATATGTAGAATTTAGACAAAATGGACAAATTTACTTCTATTACTTATCTTTTAAATTATTACATATCTCTAAAATTTAATTAAATAAAAAAAAAGAATGTTTAAACGATAACGATTGTTTTTA